ATGCTCTGTGAATATTAATTCTAAGAAGGCACATGTTGATGGTTTTCTTGTTTTGGACACGGGAAAAAAAAAAAAAGGTTGAGTTAAATCAGGATGGCATAGTTTATACCTAGTCTTCAACAAAACTGTTTCAACGTCTTATAGAATTTTGAATTAATATTCAGTAAGTTTTAAAGCTCTGCTGGAATTTCACTTTGAATTTCTGGCACCTTTGTATCTCCAGCTTTCAGCCAAATTCGGGACAGAAAACAAAACCGAGAGAAAAAAACACGTTCTTCTGTTATACTAAACCCAGCAGCTATTGGGGAGGGGAGGAATATCAACAGAAGTGATAATTTATAGCATGAAAGGGCAATTTCTATTTTCACAATGAGCTAAGTTGTAATATAACCATGATAATGACAGAAAAGGTTACAGCATGAGTCAATCCCTTATAAACCACTACATCATCAATTCTCAGCAGTACCCTGGTTTTACTACTTCTGTTGCACATTAATGGTTCAAAAACAATTTGTCTTCCTTGTTACTTTGTGAAATATGCACAGAAGAAGGATCATATGGACAATACACAGGGAAAATACAAAATTGAGTATTTACTGTAAAACTATTTCTTAAGTTACAGTATTCACAGGTAACAGCAGAAAAGATAACTAACAGGTTTAGCAGAAAATGCATTTAATTTTAAGACTAATTAGAGATGGGAAAATTATAGACTTTTGAACGAAACTAACTTTTAATTCCATCTTTTGAATCGAACTATCCTGAAATTCTATTTAGCCTAGTTTTCTTGGTAGGAAAAAAACCCCGAAACCTCACACAAGAAACATACAGTCTCTCTCTCTCAGATGTACCATGTAGCAAAAGGGTAAAACTGAAGTATGCTGTATGAAAAGGACAAAAAGTATTTACTAAGTATTTTCTCCAATTTTTCTATTCAAACAGAATCCAAGACATTGGTCTGTCAAGAAGCAAATACTGAAGACAAATACTGAAAGAATTCTAAAAGAGAAATAAAATTCTACAGTACTGAATCAGCAAGAGAATTACCTAATTATATTTAAAAACCCCACAGTTGAAAGCCATAAAACTGTAGCTTTTACTGCCACTACAATCCCAGTTAAATAAAACTGCCAGTCCTGTTATTTAACAGCAGCCCAACAGGAAGCACACGGGCCGCTCGTTATTCCCACCTTGGCGATGCAGGCGGGGCAGAACCAGTCCCCGTCTGGGATCGTGCTGATCTTGGGCCTGTGGCAGTAGGTGTGACAGCCCTTGTCGCAGCCATCGCACAGGAGCAGCAGTTCCTCGTTGTCTCCTTTTCGACAAATCTGGCAGTACTGTAACACATGCAAAAAGGCTTTACCTCAATTTTAAGAATGAGGCATACAGGAATGGCACCTAAATTACCCTTCCCCTCCAAACACACAAAGTTTCTCTCAAAATTATTTTCCTTTCACTTCACCATCATCAGTCTCTCCCAATTATCACACGTGCAAAAGAGTATTTGCAGTACGCGAGAAACTAATATAAAGGCTACGTCTGTCCCTGAGAAGTGAAGGTATCATACCCATCAAAATCACTTGGCCCACACACACTGTCTCAGGAATCTTCTTTTCATTTACTCCCATACTGCATACCTAAGTTACTATTTTGTAAAAATAATTTTGACAGTATGACGGTATGACATATGACAGTATGACGATAACTTTATGACAGTATTTTCAAATAATAATGATCGGTAAGATGTTATCCAAAGGCCACCGTGAACTGATTCAGTAAAGCAAAACAAATGATCCTAGCGCTTCCTGAAATTAAAACTAATATAAAAATACCTAATGTATTGTCAATTTTCTTACACACATTGTGTGATTTTGATGCTCTTCTATACCTGGAATTCTTTTTCAGGAACTTAACGATTTCCACATGTTTTCCACAATACTTACGTTTACTGTGTAATTAAATGTGCAGAAAATTACAACCAATTTGAGAATGACAGCATATAATAAGTTACTGCACCTCAAAACATTCAAATCCCTTTTCAGGTGCTCCTACTAAATTCATGAACTTTTTGCTCTCAAGATACAGCTTTAAACTCAAAGGTACAGCCTTTTATTTAAATCATCCTTTAATTGTCCAACTGTAATTAGAATCAGTACAGGACTGAAAAATCCCTGAAAAATCAGGGAAAGGACCACCAATGCAAGAGTCGCTTTTGTCCCCCCTCCATAGCACCGGCCACCCTTGATCACGTCACAACCACCGTTGCTGCAGCAGTAGTTTTGTTTTCGGAAATTTGAGGTTCAAAGGTCCATGCAAACTTTGACACATGCACTTTGCATGCCTTCGCTGTATACGCAGTTAACACGGATCTACTCATCACATGTGCAAGGAAACAGGGATCGCAGCCTCGCTGGCTCCCCCACTTGCTCGGTGCGTACATTCGGTTGTGAGACATGTGCATGCAAAGAAGCCACACACTCGGAGCATCTCAACTTTCTGAAAAATGAAGTCCTGAATCGGGATATGTGATGCTGAACCTCCATCAAGCTTACATCACGGATGAGAACAGAAATACACCATCAGATAGAGTATCTTCTATCAGATGGAGCCAGAAATTACTCTTTTTTACCTAAACGTTAACAACAGGGGGTAATTACCACCTCAAAGCAATCAGTTACAGGGGCGTTTTTTCTTAGAAAGTTCAGGATGCTGAAGTTTCACACGCAGTAATAAGATAATGCGTTTTAACCATGAGATCTTAAAATGCCTGAAGTGGGAAAATAGGATGAAGCAAAAATAGTTTAGCTATAGTATTTAAAAAAAAATAAAAGCACTTACAACTTTCATAATAGATTTTTCCCATGCTATTGATTTCTGTAACTGCTGAATGCACAGGGCTACCTGTGCAGCACTGCGCGCTTCTGACAATGCCCTTCTCCACACCCTTAGCCCCGGAGCAATATCCTCTTCAGTTCTGCATTGAAATACAGAGAAATTAAGTAGGTCACATCCGTGTTTGCTTATGTTTAAACGTGGAACAATCATTATCACATTGAAAGCCAAGCGATGACAAAACATACACAGCCAATAGTATAAGGTTTAAGCAACTAAATTTCATGTAGTGCACAGACTGTGGCTACGTGCCTCAAAGCTTAGTCACGACCAGTTAAATGGAAGATAATTTTGCAAGATTATCAACAAACGTAACAAAAAATATCTTTACGAAGCACCATGCAGAATAACATGATCCATACGGATCACAGACATACAAGAAAGTACATAGATAACAGGCAATAAGAAAATAGGCTCCAATTAGCAAAGAAGCACAATAATTTTTCAAGTTAATCTCAATAACCTACCCGTCACCATCACCACTAATGGATGGTGCAGGAGCAGGGATAGTAACTGTGCCCACATTATCCAGTTTGATCTGAATGGTGGTACTTAAGGGGCTCTTCAGATACCTTCGCTCTATGTTCCGCTCCAAGTCAGCGAGCCTGGTTACAGCTATATCTAGAGGGTTGTCACTCGTCCGCTCTAGAGAGCTGGCACTGCCTTCTCCGCCTCCAGCACAATCGCCATCGTGCTTCTTGTGCAATCTAGTAACTGATTTATGTTCACGATATACCAAGTCGTCTCTCTCTGACGCAGGTTCAGGACACAGCCAGCCCTATGTTAATAGAAAGGTTGGTGCATTTATTGGTTGCTGTTAACTTAGTGGGTAAACAGAGGAACTCTTTTAGGGAATCAAACTAAGCAGGTGAAGCGCTGTTTCCAGGAGATCTTGGTTACTTGTCATCCATCTGTAGAGACAGTTGCCAAAATATCCAGAGAACTAAAATAATTAATCAAACAATACAAGCATTACCAGACTTCCTGAAGGAACCTTTCTGCAAGAGCCTGCATTCTTATCTCCTTCTCGAGCATCCCATTTTATTAGTCAAAACATCAGAATGGCTGTATCTGTCCAGCAGGTGCAGAGGACAGTGTCAACTGGTCACAGAGAAATAACGTCCACCCCCGGAAGAAACCACATCCCAACTACTACATCTCTACTCTAACCAAACGCATGCAACATGATATCCTCACGCCCACCTTGGAAAAACTCCCAGTTGTAATGGCAGCCAGCGAGTTCTTAACTCTCTCACACTCAAAATCACCACACGTCCCCCATGACTCTGCGATACCCAAGCACAGCATTGCCATGTACTTGTAGGTTTTTCTGAAAGCATTAAC